TAAGGGGGACAGTAGCAGAGCAGACCCAGACCACCTGATGGTTCTGGAAGGTTCAGAGCAGAACAGTGGATCAGAGATAAATGGCTCAGTCAGAAGACTTGGTGGACTCTCCTGATCTGCAGCAGTCTGACCTGAGACCTGCAAACACAGCGTTAAAGTGGTCGAGTCTGACACAAACTCAGGGACAGGCTTTTTCTGGACCAGTAAATAATAAAAAATCAGCTTTGTGATGAAAACAGAGAATGTAAACAGGTTGTGTTTACAACAAAACTCCATAGGGAGCTCTACGTCCAGGATCAGGGCCCTGCTCCTCCACACGGTGTTACGCTGCCTTCATGATCTGATGACACCTGAGCAGGAGCAGCTGTTGCTCCCACAGTCGAGAGCTTGATTCGGTTGTCCTGTGTTGATCAGCCGCTCTGGGCTCGTTTATTCTGGAAGTGTTCCTGAATGTACGGATGTGTTGGTTTACTCTGTGTGTGTGTGTGTGTGTGTGTGTGTGCACACCAGTGCTCTCTTGTGTCTTAATCTTGTATTTATATCCATAATGACAGCATGAACTTTGCAAGGACACAGAGCCAGTGACAATGGCTGCACCGCACACAGGAGGTCACACACAAATCAAACGGACAGGACAAACAGCTGCCCTGGGTTCAGGCTGCCAGGCAGCACTGAGGCTTCATCCTAAACCTTCCTGTGGCGTTATGTTGGCGTCTGTTCTGATGCTCTGTTGGTTAAACGGTGTGTGATGAAGCCATCAACAGTTTCCACATGTTCCACTAGCTACATCTTCACTGTATTATTTTGTAGAGACATTATTGTCCCACAAAGATTCATTTAATTCCAGTGAAACATCCGTTTGGGGCTCAGTAAAAGTATCTGTGTGCTCCCCGTCACTAGTAGGGTTGCAGTGTACATTTAGTTGGCTCAGATTCTTCTGCACGTCATTGTGTAGCACATTGTGTTCTGTCATACGGTGTTCTCAGGATGGACATGCACACCCTGCCAGCCTGTAACCATGAAGCCTTCGGTGCTGGGTTAGTGGTGGAGCAGGTGTTCGGATCTGTCTTCAACACAAAAACCAGACATGTGTCTAAATTATGTCCAGATAATTTCCTAAGATGTTTCCTGGGGAGAACCTTATACTTTGGTACTAACTGAAGGTCGACTCACAGCAGGATCCGTTGCTACACGTCCAGAGGTATTATTCAGAGGACACAGAGTGTGACATGTCTGCACACACCCACCCAGTCCAGCAGAAATGGGGAATAACACACATAAATGAAGAGTAAATGTTAACCGAGGTTTAAATTGACCATTTCCTTTCGTGGATGTTCATGTGAAAGCTGCAACAATAAAACTGTCCCAGAACTTTGTGTCTGTTTTTCTGTAATTAGCACCAAATGTTCAGGACGTTATTAGGAAATATCAGCCCTGTGAAGTAAAGTGTTACCAGCTTCAGTTTCTGCACAAGGTTTGTGACAGAAGACACAAGTCAAACACAAACGGATAAAGATCCTGGTGTTCAGCCAGAGGAGTCAGCGCCCCCTGCTGGGACCTGTGTGCTCTGCAGATGTAGGTCTGGAGAAACAGCAGTTTGTCAAAACGTGTGAGGGGGACACGTCGTGGACACATGAGACAAGCTACATGTATGATTCAGTTAAGACATCTGACAGACTGGTCCTTTAAAAGACCCAGAGTACAATGTAGAAACTACAGTATTGTCCTCCAGATACAGTGGGGTAGAAGTCAAATGGAACTACTCAGTCAAAGTACCTCTAATGTGTACTGCTGGAGTAAATACACTTGACACATGTCCTCGTTGTGTTCCAGGGGAGCTGCTGAGCCAGACTCGGCCCGAGGGCCTCACCGAGATCATCTGTCCAAAGAACGGCTCGGAGCGGGTCAACGTGGCGCTGGTGTACCCCCCAACTCCCACCCTGCTCAGCCCCTGTCTTAAATGAGCCGAGCACTGTCCCGGCTCGACTCGCTGCATCACCAGAGCCTCCACCTCCGACTGCCCCTCTGCTGCACCCCCCCGGACCTCCAGCTGCAGGCTGTACACTGCATCCCTACTTCACCTGTAGGCACAGTACTGCATTCTGACTCCTTTCAGTGGTGGAAGAAGTACTCTGGTCCTTTACTTCAGTAAAAGCAGTAATAACTGTGTATAAATACTGCATTCAAAATGTTACTTAAATACAGAAGTATCAGCATCCAAATCTACCTGAAGTACCATCAGTACCAGTACTCGTCCAGCAGAACGGCCCGTGTCCCAGTAACGTCTCTGATACTGGATCATAGTGACTAATTACTGTGTCCATCACTTTAATGCTGCAGCTGGTAAAGGTGGAGCTGATGGTAACTACCTTATATACTTATACTGGGAAGTACTTTCCATCCTACTGGGTAGCTGGTGGATTTCCTACTGGGATCAGTGGAGTCTTCTCCAAACCTATAAGAATATGTCCTAACTTATTTGTTGATGTATTGGTATTATTAATCTTAATCAGCCAAGTACCATGTGTCAGATGAATGTAGTGTGAGATTCCCCTCTGAAATGTAGTGGAGTAAAAGTATAAGTAAAATAAAATGAAAGTACTCAGTAATACCTCCAATGGAATAGAAGTACACCACCTGAGTACATGTACTTTGCTACTTTGCACCAGTGCTGATTTCCCCATGTGCTTCCTTCTGTTCCAGGAGGTTCAGCCTGTCCCTGTCCTACCACGCTGACGCTAAACAGTCGAATGAGGCCTCCCTGTCTGCGACCACTTCACACGGTTCTCAGTCATGCTTCATCAGTGTTCATAGAAATGATGGTTGTGTACTGGAAGTCTCTGAGTGTGCACGGCCACACGATGGTTAGTGTAAGGTGTCGCCTGCTAGCCCGGTCAGCTTGAGACAGATAGCTGAGCCATTGCTACCCAACAGGTGACATCCTTGTCAGGAAACTCACGTGTTGGGGACAAACTGAGAAACCTGTGAGACTCTGGTTCAGTCTCACCCCACTGACGACACACTGGACTCTGAGACCAGGAACGATGATTTTTCCTGGACTGAAATCTCCAGCAGCATCTTGCGGTGTCCGCCCCAGCTCTTTATGGACAGGACACTCCTGAGTGAGCAGGACAGGGCGTGAAGACCCACGTTGTGCTGCGTGTCTCTACATGTGTACGTGTTTCTCTGTGCCTACATTTTAGTGCAGACTCACATACTGGACTGTTTCTGTCATCACTGTGGTCTGAGGTTTAAACCGGGTTTGAACTTCTCTCACCTTGAACTAAATCACGAGGTTTCTTTGTTGTGAGGTTTGAACGCAGCTGCTGAGTCCTGCAGTCGTCAGTGCACCTGCTGCACTCTCAGGTCAGCTGGAGGGTACAGGAAGCCTTTGTGTTTGTTCAGACTGATCCCGCACCCTAGTCCCCTACAGTAAACGTGAAGCTGTAGCTTAGCATAAAGACTGGAAACAGGTGGAAGCCGCTCACCTGGCTCTGTCAAACCTGCCAGCACCTCTACTGGTCGATCAGCGACCCACTAGATCCGATTTTTAGATCTTGTTTCTTAAGCACTTTAGTTTCTCACTGTTATGATTAGATTAAACTGTTTCCTGTCCTTATGCTAAGCTAACTAGTCGCTCTCTGTAAAGCACATCCTTCACTTTAATGAAATAAAACAGAGAAAGGTGGAATCAAACATTTTGACTGGCAGAACATGATGAATTGGTTATCAGAGTAGTTTCAGATTTATTGATTACCTGATTAAGTTCTAATATATTTGACATGTCATTGCATAAAGTTACCGTCAGACAAATGTAAATTAAAAATGTTTTATGATCATCAGAAGTGGGAACGCGTTAGCTCTCACACTGGCTGTTGTTCACATGGTATTTCTCATGCTGAGCTGATGTGGAGTAAACGTGAAGCCCCAATCTGCAGCTGCCGCTGATCGGACGTCAGCTGCACCTGTGCTTGTCCTCACAACAGTCAGCTGCGTTTGAACGAGGGCGTTGAGACTCTGAGTGACACAGAAGCAGGACAGGGTGCGTCTGGTGTCCACACCCCGACACGCCGGCAGCACTCATCCCGCACACAGCTGCGAGTTCACACTGTATCAACAATGTAAAGATAATCGTTGATGCCACGGATGCCATAGTTCAGTGGGATCTGTACAGATCCACCAAACCATGTGTGACAGTTCAACACAGTGAGTGTACAGAGACAAACAAGATGATGTTGGTGTGTAGAAACTAAAGAGCACCAGGTCTTTTCAGGGTCTGTTGGGTTTCGTTTCCAGGTGTTTTCCACTGCTGGATGAAAACATTGACCTGTGCTGGGGAAGTGTTTCTGTCTGATGTAAATAATATCTTTATTTTTGTACGTTGACAGGAGGTGTCGCCACTCAATCTCTGACAGTGCAATGTGGTGCATGGCTCAGGGTGAGCGTGCACACTGGGCTTTCTATGTAGCTCGTTTCAACATGTCACATGCAATACCAAATAAACGATAACTGGCTTTAGTGCCACTGAGCTGTGCCTTCTTTGTTCATGTCCATAGAGGTTCAGCCATTTACACACTCAGTGACCCCTCTCATATCAGCTGGGTTGGTTTTCCACACTAAAGGACCCCTTTGTCTGTATTATTGTCTTCTGGCTTTCCACAGTCATTGTAACTTGATTTATTTTGGTCTCAATCCCTGCTCTTGATCGTTTTTCGTTATGTCTGGTCAATAAATCCTACAAACCCGTGAAACACCTGGAGCTGCAGTGAGCGCCGTGCTCCTCCTGTCCGCCAGGGGGAGCTGACTCTCCGCGTTAGCAGAAGAAGCTCAGCTCTGTCCCCGGCACTTCCTCTTCCCTTCGCGGCCTCAGAGGTAGGTTGTCTGTCCACATCTGAAAGACAGAATCTATCTTTAATCTTTATTAAATGTCCACCATCCTGTGCCGTGACCAGCTGGATGTTGTTGGCCACATTTCCACACATTAGACGATGTTATATTTCGGTGTGTGGAGCTGTAGAATCTATTTTAAATGATTTGAGATGATGCCGGGCCGGTGGCTAGGAGAGCTTTCCGCCATGTTGGCTCTGTCTGGCGATAAAAACCGAGACAAATAACTGTTTTGTTGATTATTTCTCAAACTCTTTGGTGATTATAGCTGTTTTTGGTTTTTAATAATGTTAACCGGTGCTTCTGGATAAGAGTTAGTCTTTCATAGCGGCGTACTGTAGGCTAACCTGAGCTAACGCCATCGTAGCACCAGCTTAGCACCAGCTTAGAACCAGCTTAGACAGGAAACCTGTGTGAACGTCCAGCTGAACATTGTTCTCATTTCACAGATATCTGAAAATGGTCCGCTACTCTCTCGACCCCGAGAACCCGACTAAATGTGAGTAAAGTGCAGGCGTCCGGGGTTTCAGTGTTAGCTTGGTGCCGTGATGACTTCTTAGGACACCTTTGGATTACACATGAAAACAACTGAATGAAAGCTGAGCCCCGAACAGAGGCGTGCACGCTTCAGTGTCGTTAACACGTGTCAGTGCCACTAAAACCACAATGCTTTTTTATTTCAGCATGCAAGTCGAGGGGCTCCAACCTCCGGGTTCACTTCAAGGTAAGCTGCACATGTTCGCCCAGAAATAATTAGTCGTTTGCCTGTTTCCTGTGTTGCTGGTCCACGTGACTGCTATCTGAGCTGTGCGGGTGCTTGTTGAACAGAACACTCGTGAGACGGCCCAGGCCATCAAGGGCATGCACATCCGCAAGGCCAACAAGTACCTGAGGGATGTGATCGTCAAGCACCAGTGCGTCCCTTTCCGTCGCTACAACGGTGGTGTCGGCAGGTGTGCCCAGGTGAGCTCTGCTCCTGACTGAGGAGCCCTTCACAGGCTGCACTGATGACCATCTTAGGACACCTTTGGAGTCAAGATGAAACTAATATTACAATCTGAGCAGCTTTGGCCAATCAGTTTGTTGGACTGAACTTGGACAGAAGAACATCTGTAAACACGTGTTGTTGTTGTTTTCAGGCCAAACAGTTCGGCTGGACCCAGGGGCGCTGGCCCAAGAAGAGCGCCGAGTTCCTGCTGCACATGCTGAAGAACGCTGAGAGCAACGCTGAACTGAAGGTACGATCTGCAGTCAGGTGTGCTGACAGCGCTGTGACACGTCAAGGCTCTTCATTGTCGGCTGTTGGTTGGTGTGACTTGTGAAAAGATTGCAGTGATGACCATTTAGGACACCTTTGTATGAACCATGAAAAGAAAGCATTGAATCTGAGCAGTCTGAGTCACGTTGTAGGGCTGCTGACACATCCACACTGTGCGTTTACTTTGTGGAAGGTTGACACGTTGTAGGGCTGCTGACACATCCACGCTGTAAGTTTACTTTGTGGAGGGTTGGGTGTAGCTCTTTACTCAGTATCATCTGTTGTGGTTAAGTGTTAGTCTGTGATTCATCCTCACTCCCATTCAAACCTGCAGCTAAATAGTTTGATAGGTGAGTAACCTGCACATGATCTTCTCTGTAAACCCTTAGAACTTGACACAGCTCCAAGTGACGTATTCAGCTGGTTTGTGACAGAAGAGCATCAGGTCCTCATGTCAGCACTGCTCCAACGGTGGACATGAGGTTTCCTGTTGCTAGATTCAAAGTTGACAAGTCAACATTTGTTTGTCTGTTGTGTATGCTAAACATTTCCTGTGTATAAATAAGAGGAACCAGGGGGAACCAGATGGCGACAGCTGTGTCGGCACATGGTTTCTAACCTGTGGGGGGTGGTTGGGTGTTGCAGGGTCTCGATGTAGATTCTCTGGTCATCGAGCACATCCAGGTCAACAAGGCCCCCAAGATGAGGAGACGCACCTACCGCGCCCACGGCCGCATCAATCCCTACATGAGCTCCCCATGCCACATCGAGATGATCCTGACTGAGAAGGAGCAGATCGTGCCCAAGCCCGAGGAGGAGGTGGCCCAGAAGAAGAAGGTACGGCACTGAGTTAGGGCCCTAACCCTCAGAGAGGCAGCGGGAGGTGGGCAGGGTCCATTATGTAGATGTAGAGGTCAGACTTGGGCCTCAGGTCCACACTGTGACATGCCATCAGCTCCTCCTCCAGGGTCTCTGCAGGTTCACAAAGACCTTCCTAATGCCACATACAGAATGTCTTCTTCACAATGTCCTGTGGACCTGCACAAACCCTGTTCTTGACTCAGGAATCCCCTGAACATGTGTCCAGGGGATACCTGCCTGACAGGTGCATGTGGGTGGACCGGGCCCCAGAGCAGCCAGCAGCTGACAAGCCTGGCTCCTCGCTCACCTGTACATTTAATGATGTGATCCAGAATCGGCAGAAAAGCCTGATGGGTACTAACATGCATCTTCATAAGAGGCTGGATAATGTTAGATGTTGCCTGAACCAGAGGAGTCAATACAACTTGGACTCGTGTCTGACTTGTTAGTTTCTTTGGATGCTGTTGATTTGTGCTCCTGGCTCAGTTTGTTAGCTCCTGTTCAATGTTTCTACATGTCAGTGAATGTCTGGTGGCGTCAGAGTCAGGTGGCTGCAGCTGATCCTCCCTCTCCTCTGACTGCTTCAGTGACTCTGAGTTCTCTCTGCAGGTTTCACAGAAGAAGCTGAAGAAGCAGAAACTGATGGCGCGGGAGTAAATACTAATAAATGGACAACTTAGCATCACTCCAGTCTCCGGCTCCTCTCTCTTTTTGAACGTTCATTGGTTTTATTGTGAAGGTTTCAGGAAGCGGCAAAACGAGAACATTTACCCAAGTACAGTTCTGAGGTGTTTGTACACAAGTATTACTATGTTCTGCTACTTCATAAATGGATTTCACTGCATGTCAGAGACAAAGCTTGTACTTTGTACTGTACTACAGGTATTTGATGACTTCAGTTCCTGTTCAGAATCAGATTAATCAAGATGTCTGCAGCTCGACATCGACAGTACTGATGAAGTAAACCCGTACACAGTGATTCAAGGTGGAAGTGTTTTCCATTGGTGTGAAAGTCCTCAAACACCCAGTTCATCTGTAACAATGACGTTTTGTCAGTAAAGCACAAATCTTCCTGGGCAGGTGGATGACAAAGTAAAAAACTGAATGGAAATAAATATGTAGGCTGTTCAGGAGCTTCATTCAAGTCACTGAGGGAAAGGATTGTTTCACACATCAGAGCTGAGGGAAGTGCAGGATGACGCGTTCACATCTGTCTGATAATGTGATAAATCCTCTTAGCACTTTGACATCAGGTATGTTTTCTGGGTGGTCTAGTTTTATTGACTCCAGACTAGATCGCTTTGTATCCTGGGGCCAAAATCCTGTTGTGAAGCATCAAATGGAACAAAATGCTGCTGCACCTGGTGAGGACTCTCAGATTCGACCATAGATCCCAGTTGGCTCTCCACTGGCTGCCTGTTCACTGTGGGCTTCAGTTTAAGGTGCTGTACTTTACATTTAAATGGCCTGGCCCAGGATACCTGGCTGGGCTGCAGTGGCACATGAGGCTCCTGGGGTTAAACAGTGTCAAGGGGGAGGTGGAGCCTTCTTGGTAACAACCCCGAGACTCTGGACCTCCGTACCCGTAAATGTTTGATCTGTCTCTGACCTGTTGGTTTAAATGTTTCACTGAACGCTTGTGATTCCTGGTGAAGTAGACCAGTTACTGTGTGGTTGGTTTGTCACCTGTGAAGCACTTTGGTCGACAAGCTGCTGTCCTAAAGTGCTACATAAATACTTTTTGATGTGACTTTTACTGAAGTAGGGTTTTCAGTACAGGGCCTTTATGTGTAATTGAATATTTCTACGGTGTTGTAGAAGTACTTCTGTGTTTCAGTACCTCTTCCACTACAGCTCATAAGTGTGCAGAGTCATGATCTGTGAAGCACTTTGGTCGACAAGCTGCTGTCCTAAAGTGCTACATAAATACTTCTTGATGTGACTTTTACTGAAGTAGGGTTTTCAGTACAGGGCCTTTATGTGTAATGGAGTATTTCTACAGTGTTGTAGAAGTACTTCTGTGTTTCAGTACTTCTTCCACCACAGCTCATGGGTGTGCAGAGTCATGAGCTGCAAAGGGTTAACACACCGCCTCTGAGCTCCAGCTGCAGGGCTGTCGGTGGCCACCGGGGGGCGCCGCTGCACCACAGCTGGTTGGGCTCTGGACGCGCACAGCTGTGGAGACGAGCGTCAGTCCACGTCCTGTACTGAGGTAATACCATAGTGTAGAAATACTGTTACCGGCCTTCATAATTCTACTAGAGTAAAAGTACCTAAGTATACTTTAAGTATCAAAGTATACTTGAAGTATCAGTAACTATTAAGTATAATAAGGAGGGATTGGCCCATTTCACACTGATTAGAATATTAGATCATAATGACTGATGCATTACAGTGTTCATCACTGTTAACTATCCTTTGTTACATATTTATAAAAAGATAAATGACAGGCTCAGTTATTTTATAGACAGAAAGCCTCATGATTGATCAGGTCTTTATTTATTAATTACTCTTTAGTCAAATCCTTGATTGATCAGGTCTTTATTTATTAATTACTCTTTAGTCAAATCCTTCCTAAAACCACCAGGTTTGTTTTATGGTCTTATATCGGACTCGCTCAGTATCTTATTGAAGCGTGTCTCAACCTGTCAGGGCTGTAAAAACCATTTAATTAACCCATTAATTAGTTCATATTCTCTAACTCATAATTAAACAGGACGTGTTTCATATGTTCCGTTGTTAGTAAAGAGGATATTTATCAGAAGATTAATACATTTTCTGATCATTGATCGAAACAGTTAAATAATCAAAACGAGTTTTCTGATGAATTAATTAGTGGTTTCACCTGATTAGCAGCTGATTATTGATCTGAGCCCTTAACCTTGGATCCTCGTACTTTCTGACCACGGACCTTTAAACAAACGGTTAAAAACGAACACGGCCTTTTTCAGACTGGGAGTTTTTAGGCCACACAACAGGAGCTGCAGGCTTCAGGGTGGTGCGTGATGGGGCCGTGACATTCAGCTTCAGCGTGCACCCGCTGCGCTCCCGAGGTCTGAAATGAACTGAAGCCATCTCACCTGAAACGCCCCCCACGTTTGGTTCTAGTCTGAGGAAGACGTCGTGTTCTTCAACAGTTCTTTAATACCAACAGTGAATGTGGATGGGGGGCCACAGAGGGCCAGACCCCCAGTGACAGGTCGGGGCCTCTGCTGCTGGTGTCCCAGCCCTCCCCAGTAAACACTGGCATTACCTTCTACCAAGTGAACAACGCGTGCACGTCCCTTTAGCGACGCAATCTGCAGATAAACAGTAGTTAAAACATTTTGTCCCAATAATCCAGGCCAGTCTGTCACGTGCTCATCATCAAAACCTCCTCCAGGCCCCTCCCGCTTCAAATCCACGTTCTTTTAAAGAAAGATACAAAGGTCCAGTGAATACCGGACCGTCATGTCCGCGCGGTCCGGCTGGGATCCTCCAGCCAATCACTGCCGAGCTCCTCAGCCAATCAGGAGCCACTCCGAAATCCATACGGCTACGTCACCGCCAGGGCGGCCAATCCCCGCTCTACGTGTCCTCCTCTCAAACTTTGGACCAGGACCTACACGTCGGTCCAGATGATCCGGTTTATTATCTCACTCCTTGGTGAACTCAGCAGAGGAGCGGTCTTCGTGTCGTCCTGGTTTTGAGGTGGATCTGGATCCGGCACTGTGTTTGTGGAGCTGATTTCTCGTTTTGGAGGCTTTTACTGGGATTTTTGTCGGGCTGATCCTGAGATGGGCTTTGGATGCGAGTCCAGAGAAGAGCGGGCCTTGGTTTAGTGCTAGTCTGGCCTCAGTCCGGTGCGCAGGGCCCTCACACCCCGCAGAGACCCGCTCCAGTGCTCCCGGATCCCCCAGAGAAGTGGTAATGTTAGCGGAAGGGCAGCAGGACGGG